AAGGACTGTACACAGTTTTGGAGGTCCACTCTAAGAGGTAACCCAGGGTAGCTTTTCTTGATACCAGTTACATGGGAAAACCTTCTGCCATCCCAGGCTGGTAAACTGCTCTGCGTGGGATTTCTCCATCTGGCTTTTTGAAATCTTAAACTCTGTTTCCATTGCATTCTTGATGTCACAGCTGGGTAATTACTGTGTCACCTAAGCTGGTGTCTGCTTTGGCTGCTTCCTCTTTCACTGAGGACAGTTTAAGTTCTTTGAGAAGAAAGAGGAACCTCGGTGCTGACCTCCTGTTCTTTTCCTTTCTCTGTAAAGAAGAACTTTTTGTGAGCAGCAGCACTCCAGCCATGACCTGACCCTTCACTCTGGTCAAAGCTGAGGTCCAACAAGGATTGCCTGGGCACCAAGCTCAGTATTTTTCTGTTCTTCTTCAGAAATGTCCATCAAATGCTCTTTTAACTAGACTCATGGAATCCTGTCGCTCCAATATCTTGAGACCTGTTTTCAATGGCCCAGCTCTTGCCCTGACAAAAAGTAGCAGGATCAGGCCCAGAGGGCAGAGCTCGGGGACTGAGCTCTCATTTTCACCAGGGAAGATAGTGATAGGACAAGGTGTGATGGTTTTAAAATGAGAGTTGAGAGATTTAGGTTAGATGTTAGGAAGAAATTCTTCCCTGTAAGGGTGGTGAGGAACTGGCATGGGTTGCCCAGGGAGGCTGTTGATGCCCCATCCCTGGAGGTTTTTAAGGGCAGGTTGGAGGAGGTTTTGTGCAACCTGGTCTAGTGGCTCCCTGCTTATGGCAGGGGGGTTGGGACTTGATGATCTTTAAGGTCCCTTCCAACCTTAATGATTCTATGACTGAAATCCAGTGTGAGCAGCTGCTTCCCAGTGATACTTTTACTGTCTGCAGGAAGGAGCATTTGCTAGATCAGAGAAACTCAGCCCTCAGGGTTCAGACATATGTAGGGTCTAACATGCAGCCTGGGGACTGGGGGTCTGTGTAGAAATAGAAACTTCAGGATAAAATAGCCAAGATAAAATGTTGCCTGCAGCTTTTAATCAGTATTTGTACAGAATATCACCAGTTCTTCTTAACTCTGCTCCAACAAGCAACTTGGGTTGAGAAACCCTTCTCAGACTCCCTTCCTTTTGTCACACCCATTTCTGATGATTCTTGCTAATAATCATTAGCAATAGTTAGTCTCATTTCCACCCCACTAATAATGTAGGAATCCAGCATGTCTTCTCCAGTTGTCTTTAGAGAGACTATAGGAGCCAACCCTTCTCAATCTCTCTGAGGTCAAGAGAGTGCAGCCTACCAACCTTTGTTGTCTGTAACCATCCCCTTAATGCCTTTTATCCACTCCTAAGGGGAGAAAACTGTCCACCAAACCTCCTTTCTGGGCAGATTGGCATCCTGTTTGAACACAGGCTCAGGAGTGCCTGTACAGCAGCAAGCAGAGACCAAGGTGTTGTCCCCAGAACCTGTAGGATGGCATTCATGAGTGCTGTTACAAAGCCTTTGTAACCAGGAAAGGGAAAATGTGCAGGCTGAGCACATCAGTCGTATTCTGAGAGGCTGCAGAAGAGCAGGCTATGAACATCTGTGTGTATTCAGGCACAGGCTGGTTGGTCTAAAGCCTCCAGAGATGTTCTGCCCAGAACACTAACACATGACTTGCACATGACACTGCAAGTCAGCAAACTTGGGAGAAATGCTGAGGAAACAGCAAATAGCCATTGAAACCCCATTTCTGAGCAGGCATGAAAAAACCTCCACTGAACAACAGAAGAAATCCCCTCTTTTCTCTGAGCTCCCCTTTAATGAAAAGGGACAGACTTATGACTGGTTATTTATTGCAGGGGGGACTCTTGAGTGATCAGACTCCTCTTCAGTCCGAGGAGTGAAGCAACAGTTCGGCTGCTTGTTCTGAGGCTGCTCCAAGGTAAGCTCTTGCTCCTTTTCCCACCACTGACTGCTGTATTTAAAGTGCTTCCTTATCTTCAGACTAAATGCATCACACCAAGGAGGGGCTGCAGCTGCTGAGCTCCAACATCACCCCTGTAAGGAGAAAATGAGAGTTTATGCATGACCTGCACTTTGCTGTTCTTAAACATTTTATGTTAGGCAGGGCAAGGACTGAAGGAGTAACAGGAGGAAAGAAACTCATGCAGAGAAAAGTAAAGGTTTTAAGAAGATGAGAGTGACATTTAGAGGAAAAAGACACTGTAAAAGCTGGGAAACTGTCATCACATGTGGTAATCCCTGGTCTTTGAGAAAATCCTTAAATCAGATGGACTCCAGGAAGAGCTTCAATATTCTCAGACCAAACATGGAAGAAAGAACACTGTTCCCAAAGGAATTAAAGTGTCCCACTATTAACTGGCACTCCTAGAAGATGATCCCCCAGATCCTGTTAGGTCTAAAGACCTCAGCAGAGCTGGCCAATGTGTCAGCCCTCTGGAAAAGTCACCAAAACCTGGTGGGATGATCTCTTGGAGTGGCTGGTGGGAGTGCTCACCTGCTGCCCCAGCCAAATGTTGACCCTGGAGAAAGACGCTTGAGGAGAACAGTAAGTGTGTGAAGGCTTGGGGACAGATACACAAGGAGATGTCTGATGGTGAATGCAGATGCTTAATCTTTGAAGATGAATGATTGCCTGGCCAGGAGCCAACACCAGGCATCAGGTTGTGCCTGAATGCCTCTGTCTGCAGCACAGGAGTCTGGCAAAGGTTGAACAAGAGGCCCTGAAGATGCTGAGTGCAGAATGCTCTCCTGACCTGGGGGTGGCTCCTGCAGCCAGGCACCACTTGTGCAGCTCATCTTGCAGCCTCCTTTATCTTAGGAATTCCTGCCTGCTGCTTACAGCCTGCACCAAGCAGCTGGCATTTGGGTTTGTGCAACTCTCCCAGGTGCAACTTCTGGAAAGGGTAGATCTAAGGTCTTGTTTTGGCCCACTGACTGGGACTGGCTCACAGGTGCACGGAAGACTTGATTCAAGGTCCTCAGAAATGCCACTAAGTGAAAATTAAGTTTCAGTTGCCAAGACACCTGGAAAATTCTCATCAAACTGTTGAATTGGATGGGGGAGCCTACTGAGCACCATAACCCTGCCCATGGCCTTGCAAAAGACCTCTGGAAAAACACAGGTCTTGGCTTGACTGCTGGAAAACCTTCCTCCAAAACCAGTTTGAGTAATCTAGCAAAACAGAATTA